TATAACCAATAATCATGCTGTTAGAAGGTCTTCTTCTAGTCAAAACCATAGATCAGCATATTTTTCCAATCGTAACCTTCAGAGTACCTTTGACCATCATGGTTCGAACTCTAGAGTACAAAATGCATTTGAAGATAGATATGATCCATCTGAATCAAATGATTTGTATGAAGATGATATCTTCAATGGCCGGAAGTTAGGCTAGAATAATAAAGTTTTAGAGTACTAGAAATGCTGTGTAAAACCATGAACTTTGCTATTCTATAAAGAGCATTATCCAGGGTGCTGTATAAATTCATGAGCTTTGCGGGGTAAGTTACTAAATTCTCTCTTATTGTACTTTTGGTGTTTTTCAACATAAGTTTTGTGTTTGACATGATTTATTCTCATAACTTTGCAGTAAGAAGTTATCAAGCTTCAGCTTTATGCAAACTTGTATCCTCCTCTGTATCCTTGATTATTTTATTGTTTGCTTTTAATCTTCCAGAAAACTTGGTAGCAATTATTTCTTTCTCCTCATCTTCATTTATTAGAAAATAATGGAAATGATGGGTATCAATATTAGGATATCAACTTCATCATATCACTTATAACACAAGAGTACTCGTTCATTATATTGGGACTGTCTGTATTTTAGTCACTGCCTTTTTTATCATTGTGATCACTTGCTATGGTTTTCTTTTGTTAATTCTTAAGGTACAAGGATGAAGTTAATTGGAGTAATTAAGATATTTGGGGAAATTTTTAGTAATTTGGGAAATGGATGAGCCATGTCTTATGAATGTGCATCTGAGTTGGACAAGCAGGATAATGATTCAGTATGCACCTTTAGCTTCATTTTTAAATTTTAAATTGGACAAGATGACTTGCTACCAGGTTTTTGCTAGAACTTTCTACAGATTTTATCTGCAGGATGGAACTCCATTTCAGACTAATAAGAGATTTTTACTTGTTTAACTCTCATAGCTGGTTCCAAATTAAAAAGTCATTTTTATATTCCAACAATTCTTTTGCTGTTTCGCTGGTCATTTACAATCTGTACTATGAATTCTCTGTAATCAATTGTTTGTCTAACCTTGTGGAAGCCAAAAAATTTCCAAAACACTCTTCAGAGAACAGTATACTGCATGTTGATAGGCTAAGGTAGTAGTTTGTATATGCTATTGTATTTCAAATGATATTCTCATGAGTTAATTCTTCTTTTAGGATGTATCTTTTTGGGGGTTCTCTAAATTCTAGATGGAGGTTGCTTGCACATATGGAAGTAGTTCCCACATTCATACTGTGAGTTAATTTTGCTTGTAGTTACAATTTTAGATTACAGCTTACAAATGCCAAGATCGCAATTAATAGGTTCTGCGAGAAACATGAGGAATTTTGTTGATCTTTGTTTTTATGAAGGGATTTGCAGGAACCATTTGTTACAAGGCGGTTGAAAGAAATCTTGATGATGGCCTTCCCAAACTGGTTGATTTTGTTTTTAAAGACAAAACGGCATGGTATACCTTTCTTCCTATGTATTCACCTTGTGTTGTTTGATATCATCCCAGGTGGCTATTCTGCTGACAGACATAACAAGGTAGCCATAGTATTAGCAGCAACTTGGTGACTTTTATGTAAAATGGATGATATGGTATACTTCCCTCTTCTCAAGAAATCTTTACTTATCTGAACAACCTTAGACTTGTTAGCTTGCTTTTGTAAATCATCTTCTTTTAATCAACACGTGCAAGAATGTAATATTTTGTTGTCTATATAAGGTAATATCATATATGGTGAACTTTAATTTAAAAATAATAATTCTGAAGTCATTTTTAGTAAATTACTTAGAAGTGAGTTTGATTTTTTTTTTTTTTTTTTTGTGGGTAGAATATTTTCCTTAGTGTTCTATGCACCTCCAGTTCTTTCCCCACCCCCACTCTCTTCCCTTATTCTTGAATTTCTATTGATCCATATGGTTTCCCTTCTCCTGTAGGTTCTTCTATACTTACCCTTCCATAACCCACATCTCACACCTTAACCCTTATCTTTCTTTATAACTACACCCGTCAGAGACTAGATTTTTATATTGGGAAACTTGTAATCTTCTGTTCCGACCAAAAACAGGCGGACGAAGAGTTTTGTCACCTAGCTCATCTTTCCAATTTGCTTTTGTTGGGTCTTCAGATCTCATTTCCCATTGTTGAATCCATATCAATGGACAGAATCGTTGATGCTTATCCTGACCTCCATAACATCTTATTACAACAACTCATCCATGAGAACAAGAGATTTCTACCACTTGCAGAACACTGATGATGCTCTTAGGCATCTACTTCATCTTCTACACGAGAAAGAGAAAGGAACTTACTGCATACATTTCCATATTCATTTCGAAGGAACTCAGAATTCACTTGCTTTAAATTGGTAGGTTTTTGCCAGAAAAAAAAAAAAAAAAAGAAATTCTAGACAATATTAATTATATCTAATTCCAAATCTACTAAAAATCTATATAGGTTTATTTTTTCAATTGAGATCTTCAACTTTTATTGTGTCATCTGACTTAAATGCTATTGACAATTTCAATCTAATTTATACATTTTGATATTTTCGTAAACAGTGCCTACTAATTACTATATTTTGTTTAGAAATTAGAATAATCCTTTGAACCTAAATATGAACTTCATGAACTGCTAGATGACCTTCATTTAACTCCCAAATGAATATTCAACTGCCCCTTATCTTTTTAACCTTTCAGAAAAAGTCACCCCTACACTTTTTCATTGTTGAAAAGTAAAAAATAGAAAATTTGTCTTCACGAAACAGGCAATCCATCATTTTATTTTGCATAATGGTTAAATTACATTGTCAGCTTTTTGTTGTCATTAGTCTTTGGGTTATGATGTCACGCCTCAATACTCAATATAAGGTGTAATTTTTGTTCATACCATTTTCATACAGTAGGTGTATAAAATATATACATGCATATATCAAAATATAATACAACTTAATATTTTACATAATATATACAGTAATTATATATACAAAATATGATGTCAAAATTTAGAGTTTAACAAAATAAAGTGGAAATTTTTCGAATATGTACAAAATATACAAAAATAAGAACTTTTTTTATGGATTCTACTCGTCTGACAGCGGTGCTGGTTCTTCATTCTTCTCTAAAAAATATTATGGTAAAATTTAATAAGTTTTATGAACTCAATAAATATTTTGGTTCTCTCAACTCAAATAAGATTTCATACAAAACACACAGAATGAAACAAATGTAATAGTGATGTTTCAATGCAAAATCCATTTACTATTTTTACCACTTCACATGTTTCTGATTAATTTATGAATTCTCTCGAATATCATATACAATCCTCAAATGTATATCCACATACTCTCAAAAGAATACAAATACACTCGAATATCATTTATCATCTCGAAACATAATCACATATACACAAAAGATCATATATACACTCGAAAGATCATTTCTACGATTTCATCGCGCGATGTCATTTATGTCATCATCGAGGAAATGTGAAATGGATCCCCCCATCACATAGATAGCACACACACACACACAAATCTTACAATTTTCACAGCAAGTACGTTTGTTAGGTGACTCACACTCATAAATACCTATCCACGTCTAAATCAAGTTTCAGACTCTATACATATGTGGGTTCATCGTGTCCACTGAACTTCAGCCACACACACACACTTTTCTCAATTCAGATTAAACGAGAAGGTATTCAAGGTCCCTACCCTATTCACTCCTACTCTCTCATTCCAAAATTCTTATCTACTTACCTCTTATTCCGTTTTTCTCTTAATTTTATTTCATTGACTATTTCACGACCTCAATTATTTCTTTTCTTTTTTATTTTTATCTTTATATTTTATTTCTTTTTCAATTTTTTATTTAATTAGAAATTTTCTTAATTCTCAATTTCGTATCTCATCACAGTCCAAATAAATTCTCAATATTTTAGATTTGTCGTCTAGTTTTATTTCTTCATAAATTTCTAATTGTTTAGGTTCACCGATCATAATTTGGGTTATGTTTTTCATCGAAAATTGGGTCAGTATTCGTTCAAATTTTAAAATTCATAATTTAATGAAATGAACGCAATTTTTTGAAATTCAAACCCGGTTGAGATTTAGAAATACTTACACTCATACGCATCTTTCCAAATCTACCTGAATGTCCAAATTTTCGGTATATACACAACATAAATTAATTAAAATAACTTAAAATACTAAACAAAATTAATTTAATTAATTCTCAAGTTCCAATGACAACCCAACGGAATACTTGAAATTTTCGAGATCCATACCCAAAAAAATTTTCAGTTCTTCGTTCGGTGGATCGAATTTTCGTTTTGAATGAAAACTTTTCAACTTCTCGAACGGTGAATCGAAATCCCAAAAGACGATTCCGGCCTCCATTCATGTGGAAGATCCTTCGGCTTCCATGGTGGATGGGTTTTTCCCATTCCCTAGGAAATCTCCTCGGTTCCCACGTGGGTGGGTGGCCCGGCCGAGCTCGCATGGCCAGCCTGACACCAGTCCCTCTCCCCCGCTGCTTAAACAACCACCAAACACAAAAAAAATGGTTTTACCTTTGGTGTGAGCAATTCGGCCACGGCTTAGCTCCCGGTGGTCTCCTCTCGATCACCCCCCGACTCTTTAGCTTGTTTGAGTTCCGGATGTGATTTTCTCAAACCTATAAACCGATTAGTAAAAAAAATAAAAGAATCTAACGAAATAGGAAAAGAATTATCAGAAAATAGAGATGAAAGCGATGAAACATATTAGCTTTTTGTTCAGACACCAACGTCGCGATAGTTCGGCTTTGTATTTCGTTGTCACGCGGAGCTCTTGGCCATGATTTCTGTTAAAATTAATGATTTTTTATGTTAAGTTAAATTCAAAAAAAATGAAATCCAC